GTAAATTAGAAAGAGGGCTATGAAGTTCTCAAGAGCGTCCACTGCTTTGACTTTATCTGGATGTTTTAGGTGCAAGGTCTTGGCCTTTTTGACCTTCACAATGCCTTCAGCCTGCTGTGCATGGTGGTCTCCACTGTCTTCAGCTGTGGCTGCCAGGGTTGCTCGCCTTTCCGATCCCTTTGTGGAGGTGGTGAGAGAGACCATCCTTCCTTCACCTGTTGGAATAAAAGTGGTGAGAATTATGGTTCCCCACCCCACACTTCTCAAGATGATGGAGAGATCCAAAGGCAGCTGCCAACAGATCAGTTTCCTTGCAGTGAGAGCATCCTTGGAGACCAACGGCCCATTTTAGGTTCGGATTGATATGTTTGGGGGATGGACAGAGCATGGAGGGAGACTCAGGTAGCCTTCCAAGTAGAATTAATTCAGCCTTTGACATTTCTTTTCATTAGCTCATTGTAATCCCTGCTAATTGGGAAGTAAAATCCACAGAAATCTGAGGGTCTCACTTCTGGGGAGACATGCAACTGAGTGTAATGCCTCACCTCTGTATGTTTTGCACACTGAATTCCTGGGGGTAGGAGAGAGGTAGCCATGGGCCATTAAGAGTTGATGGAACTCATTAGATGGACAAGAAATGGGGGTGGCACCATGCGCGTTGCTTACATCAAAAAGAAAAATGACAGAAGCATCAAGCTACAGAAAAGCTTAAACACTGCATTTATCATGGTGCGAGGAAGGAAAGAAAGAAAGAAAGAACCAACCAAAGCAGGAGATACACACCAACAGGCTCTTGGCTGAACCTGCTTGGTCTTTGTTTGGACCAAGGAACTGGTGTCCGAGGATGCTCTAAATGTTCTGGCTTTGAGGTTCTAGGCGTCTCAGGACTATGCAGATTCCCATCAACTGGCGCTGGAAGCAACGGAGTGTGGCTGTCATATCCTTCCATCCCTTGGACCTTGCTGCACGTCCTCCCTTGGTTCTTACCCTGAAGCTTCTTCTCCATCTTCCTGTCCTTCCTGATGGGGGTGGACTGGGGAGAAGGACTAAGGGAGAACAATGAGACTAGAGCCTCTATAATTTGGGGAGGAACAGAGTTGCAAATTACAAAGCCAGCATTAAAAGAGAGCCAATATGATGTACTGCTGAAGGAGCTGGACCTGGAGTGGGGAGACTCAGGCTCTAACTCTTCCTCAGTCACAGAAGCTCCTTGGGGGATTCTGGGGCAGTTCCTCCTCCCTCAGCCCAAAATCCAGGATGCTTCAATGGTGAAGATGCTGGATCAGAAAGTGGGGAGAGATAGGTTCAAATACCCACTCAACTAGAAAAGTATGCAGGGGTACTTGGAGACAGTCCCTCAATCCAACCTAACTCACAGGGTTGTAGTTAGGGGAAGTGCTCTGCATGCTACCTTGAGCACCTGAAAGAAAGGTGGAATATAAATCGAATACATAGTAAAAAGAGTAGTACCTGAGCTACTCCCAACTCCAGGTTGAAGGATTAGTTCTGGAGCAGCCAACCTGATGGCTTCTAGGTGTTTGGAGCTATAACTCTTATAATTCCCGCTGATGATAGAATTGGTAGTTTATGGGATTTTGAAGTCATCAGGTTACCCGCCTTTCCCTCACCTGGAATAGCTGCAACTGTCAAACGTATATTCCAAACTGAGGGACCGGGGACAGAAGCATGCCTTGGAAACACAAATGGTGATTGCATGGCATGCTTACAAAGGGTTAAATCAGTGTTTCTCAAAGAAGCAGGCTGGGGAATTCTGGGATTTGAAGTCCACACATCTTAAAGTTGCCATGTTTGAGAAACATTGGGTTAAATTAGTCAGTCCCTGTTCTTTTTATTTATAGGAAAGATTTCAGATCCCATTGTAGCCCCAAACACATTCTTAGACAACAAAAACAACAGTAAAAAATAAAATAAAAGTCAAGATGACAGCTGTGGCTGTGCAGTTGAAATGCAACCCTGACTTTATGTTGTTGGGATACACATTAAAAATAAAGGGGGGGGGCTTAGAGTATACAACCCAGCCATTTTCTTGACTGTTTTGACCCCCCATGGGGCCCCTGCATGTATCTGCAGTAGAAGACTTATAGATACCTACTATAAGATCCACAAATTTCTTCCTATTTGGCCTCCTTTGTAAATTAATATCATTTTATATGATCCTATATGGTAGACACAAGTTGGACTTTAATTCTTTTCATTGCCTTATGTTGTTTTATCAGTATGTTTCTATTGGAGTCTATTTTATTGATCTTTGCGCATACTTTCAGCTTCTTTGGGGAAAAAAGCAGTACAAGATAAATTCTGATGATAATGATGATAACAATTTGCCATACAGCCAGGAGCTTGGCTAAGTATTATTATATTATATTATGCTAAGTATAATTATATTAAGTGCTTAAAAGTTCCAGGGCATAAAATGCTAAATCTGTTGTTCTTTATCTATGTTTTAGTTCTCACTGTGAAGCAAGATGTTATCTTCTAAGACAGTAATAAAAGGTTGAGATGGTGTTAACACCGTTAATGTACTTATTCCTAGAGGGGGGAGGTTGCTCCAGATCTTGGTTCTTCGGCACTCTTGATAGGTCTCGATTCTCTAGAGCAGGTGGTTTATCTTTCCACAATCCAACTTGTGCCCAAGCCACGGTGATCCTCCCGCACCAACCCTCCACCAACAGCCTCACCAACTGCCTGTTCTCAACAGACACGCTCCAACCCCTGAGAATTTTAGGGAGCAAACATTCCAGTTCAACCGTCAGGAAACGGCCATGGTTGCCTTCGTTCTGACAAAGTGACTGGGTTCACATGTTGCCCTAAGCCATCTTGTTTCTGGTCAAGTAAATTTTGTCTTTGATGAGAGCCATACACCACACTGGGCTGGGCTGGGATCAACCCACATTTCCTGAATGAAGCACAGTTAATTCATTCTGCCCCCATAGACCATATATCAGTGTTTCTCAACCTTGGGAACTTAAAGATGCACAGACTTCAACTCCCAGAATTCCCCAGCCAGCATGGCTGGCTGGGGAATTCTGGGAGTTGAAGTCCGTGCATCTTCAAGTTCCCAAGGTTGAGAAACACTGCCATAGACTGTGGTTTACAAGTCCATTTCAGCTTTGTGTGATATGGGAACCCAGCTATTGATAGTTTTAATCTTTATCATTTCATGGGACAGAATATCACAGAGGAATAGAAGGTTCCTGGGCCTCTATCACTTTAATGTTCCTCTCCCAATTCCTTCCCTACAATCTCATTCTTCCACTGGGCAGCTGCAAAGTTGGTTAGATGATGGGAAAGGTTTTAGGTTCAGCCCCACCCTTAAAGAGAGTCTTAAAAACCACAGCATGAAGGTATGCTGGAATATTTGGTCACCAAGATTGGTGTGTGGAGAAAGGTAAGGAGGAGAGCAGACGATCTTTGAGAAAGACTGGGTTGGGTTGTAATTCTTATGAAAAGGTCCTTCGTTGACTATATTCATAGACTTTGCTTTGGTCTATGCACGATGTGTGACACTAGATATGGTGGTTTTTAAAGCTTGTTTTATGGCTTAACTTAATGTGTGAGTCAGCCAGGTAGCTGTACCTAGCAATGTTGCCTGATCATAAGGAAAGCTAAGCCAGGTTAGACCCGATTAGTACTTGAAGGAGAGACCACTAGGAAATGCTAGGCCTGTAGCTAGACTGGGAGGTCAGAAAAAGATTTTGGAAGCAGATGATGGTGAACCACTCCTGTGCTGGTGCAAGAAAATGACACATCTGTAGTTATTGGGAGTCCAGGCCCACTTTAGAGTCTTCTTCGTTGGTTACAAAACTGTCACTCAGTATAGTGTGTTAGCCCAGGCAAAGGTTGGTTATTTAGTTTGATCCCAGTTCTTGGGTTTTGTAAACTAGAGTTTATGGCTTTCATATGTGGTATGAACTTGTAAACAATGGGTTAATATTACTGACTCCTAAGAAGTTTCTTCCAGAGTAAATTCAGATGAAGCTCCAGGCTTGAGCACATCAACCAAAGCGGCCTTGATTGAGGATTATCAGATCTGGGCTGCAAAAATTCAGAAGAGGGTTTAGGTGGTGCAGCCAGATATAGAAAACCCAAAGCCTTTGCTACCACCTAGTGGTCATCTGGAGTTTGCAGGCCAGATATAGTCTGGCTTCATCATCATTCAACACTCTACAACTGTGTTCGGATCTTGGCTTCTCTCTTCCTTATATATGTAAAAAGGAGCAGAACTAGCTTCCTATTTTCCACTGATACCAATTTGAAGGATGTTCTCCATCTTGGCGTCCAATGTGTTCCAAAAGTTTTTTTATTCTGGTGTGCTATTCAAGCCTCCCAGAACTGAGATTATATGCATGGATTCACACTTGACTCATATTCTCAGTGGCTGTTATTAACTCAGCACACTAAGTTACAAACCAAGGTTCCCAAAATACACTGGCTAAGCCAAAATCTACAAACCCCATTTTGTCTTAAGTGAATTAAAGTATTGGTTTTGGTTTAGCCTGCTGTGGGACAGATCCGGTGGTTTATCTGTTATGGTTTAGCCTTTGGTGCACATGCAGCCAAAAGCATTTGCTTCTGAGCAGATCCGTGTGCCACCTCATTCAGCAGAAGGGGAAGCATTTATAATCTGGATTATAAATGTATTGCATTTATAATCTGGAGTCTGTTCAAGTAGTTTCCCTCCCCATAGTCTTGTGCACTGTTTTATTTGCTGGAGTCTGGATTGGGGCTGTGGTCCTGTGGGAGGGCCTGACATTTTTTCTCCTTGCCTTTGTTTCTTAATCTCCATGGACCCCCACCAAGAAAACTGAGCTCCAAAGTTACCCAGTGCTGCTGAAGACATCTCAAGTGGAGTCAGTCTAAGATGGATGTATTCCAGTTTGTTCTCTTCCCTTCTCTCTCTTTCAGGTGCCTAATAATCTTCCTGCCCTCACTTTATCCCTGGTCCCCCTCCCCCAGTGCCCCAAAATCTGGTTCTCGTCATGGGCAAAGAGAAGACTCACATCAACATTGTGGTGATCGGCCACGTGGACTCTGGAAAATCCACCACCACGGGACACCTGATCTACAAATGCGGAGGCATCGATAAACGGACCATTGAGAAATTTGAAAAGGAGGCAGCAGAGGTGAGGGAATGCCTCTGAGCATGTGTGGAGTGTGTCCCCAGGCTCCAGAGTAGCCGGGTGAAAGTACCTGCTCTTCATTTGGGGGGAAGAAACCAAAAGTGGTACTTCCCCATGATGCCTTTAGCAGAGTCTTTTAGGGGGCTGGTGGTTGGGAAACCGAAAAGTTAACCCAGTGCTTCTCAACCTGAGCGACTTTAAGATATGTGGACTTCAACTCCCAGAATTCCCCAGGCAGTTGGGAAACACTGGGTTAAAGTTTAAAGCCCCCATCCACAAAGAAGCCAACAGTAAAATGAATCAGTTTTCCCCTTCCCCAAATATTAAAATGTCTAACAAATGATCGGGGCATGGACATGCTTTTCACAGATGGGGAAAGGATCCTTCAAATACGCCTGGGTGCTGGACAAGCTGAAAGCGGAACGGGAGCGGGGAATCACCATCGACATATCCCTGTGGAAGTTTGAGACGGCCAAGTATTACATCACTATCATTGACGCCCCAGGCCACCGAGATTTCATCAAGAACATGATCACTGGGACTTCCCAGGTATGAGACCCTCCTGAATGACAATGTGGAGTTCTGCATTTCCAAGAGACAGTTACTAGCTTTGTCCAGCATGCTCTGTCCCAGTTCCATAGCCATGGTTAACTGAAAAAGCCATGATGGGCTAGATTCATGCAACCTACTAAGTCCTAAACCCTGATTTAGAAAACTTTTCCAGGCCAAGAGTCTAAAGGACAGAGGGAATGGCCTTGAGAGACAGGAGGAATATAACTTCACAATAAAAGTAGTATTGGCCCACGTGACTTTGGTTTGCTAGTCGGTCTTATCTTGAAGGGCTGACCCAGAGTCTGAACTTTGGTGGGCAGAGAGTAGCTGGGACAAAATATAAGGATTGAAATCAAATTCAGAAAGGGTGGCTAGGACCACCTAAATGGACTGGAAGTAAAATTGAATTACATAAATGGAAATGAAATAAACTTAAGGAAATTTACATTGTCTGAGGAGTTAGCAACACTTGGCTGACCTTGGCTGGGCCTGGAAACTAGCAGGATTGAATCTGGGTAATATTTGGATAGCAGGACTGCCAGCCAAGAACAAAAGAAGACAATGGAAACCATTTCCTTACTGTTGCCAAGAAAACTACAGATTGTGTCTTTGGACTCGCTGGGAGCTGAACTCGATCCAAGAGCATCTTGACTTTTGCTCCCTTCATCTATTGTTAACTTCCACTTTTGGGGCCATAAAGATCACAATGGGGCAGTAATTTGGGGGGGGGGACTTTAGGGGCAGGAGACAATGCTTATGGGGTGTGGGGCTAAGTTAATTTGCCTCAAGTTCTGTACCTCTGCTCCCCTCCCCAAATTCTGGGTATTATAGTTGAATGATAAAGCAGGAAACTTGGTTGTCCCAGTTCCAGTGCTTAAAAGTATACGATCAAGGATATAAGGAGGTATGTCTTACAGGTGCCCAGTTAGCTTTTCTTAGATTTCTAGCAATATTCTAGTCCATTTCCCCCCTGCAGAATGGGTATATATAATCTACCTTCCTTTAGGGCATTTTTGTTTCTGAGACCCTAAGGCAGTGTTTTTAAAACGTGGCAACATTAAGATGCGTGGACTGGCTGGGGAATTCTGGGAGTTGAAGTCCATGCATCTCAATGTTGACAAAGTTGAGAAACACTGCCTTATACACACACAACCTTAGTTATGGTTAGTTAAAGTGGGGCATGTTTTTGTAGTAATGGGCTGCACTGAGCCTTGTAAATTCTTTCTTAGGCTGTGAGCTGATGTCCGTGCAGCTTAACATTGCCAAGTTTGAAAAACACTGGCCTAAGGGGAGGTGGATTGCACATACCATTCGGATAAGTTCCAGATATCTCTTCCTAAAACATCACTAACTGCCAGGACTTGCATAATTCTTGAAGCTAACGGACTGTATATACTCCCGGATAAGCCGAGAATATTAAGTGCCAAAAAATCAGGTTCAGCTTATCCGTGGACGGGCTTCTCTGCAAGTATATATGGTAATACTTTTTAAAAGTACTCATATTTCCCATATGTACTTGCATATGAGTGGATAAGCAGAATCTTGAATTTTTAACCCCGATACTATGTACAATGCAGGTTGGCTTATCTGTGGATGGGCTTAAGTACAACTTCTGCAATTTCAGTTCCTGGTAGATGATTTGAACCTCATGGACTTTTTTTTAAAGTTTAGAGTTAAATGAAACTTAGAAGATCATCTGGCTATGTATGTCTGATGATTCCCAGTAAGGATGAAACTGGTCATCTGCTGCCCCCTGGTGGTCAATGTAAATAGTCCGGTTTTGTGTTTCTCCCTAGGCCGATTGTGCTGTTCTGATTGTGGCCGCGGGCATGGGTGAATTTGAAGCTGGCATCTCCAAGAACGGGCAAACGCGAGAGCACGCCCTCTTGGCCTACACCCTAGGGGTGAAGCAGCTCATCATTGGGGTCAACAAGATGGATTCCACAGAGCCTCCTTACAGCATTGTACGCTATCAGGAAATCGTCAAGGAAGTGAGCGCCTACATCAAGAAGATTGGCTACAATCCGGCCACTGTTGCCTTTGTGCCCATCTCTGGCTGGCATGGAGACAACATGTTGGAGCCCAGCCACAATGTAAGTAGTTTATGGACTGTTCCTGGTTGTGCTGAAGCATGTTTTTCAACCTTGTCAACTTTAAGATGTGTGGACTTCAACTCCCAGAATTCCCCACATCTTAAAGTTGACAAGGTTGAAAAACACTGTGTTATAGCAACATATTTAACCAAATCAGCTGTTAACTGATGTATTGTAGGAGCAAGCTGGGTGCTCACCCCCTGGAATCTTGCTTTGGAAGTGTCTGGTTTACATTTGGCAGCCAAACTGTGTAATGGTGTGGTTTGGAACTTCCCTGGGGTATTCAAAACTCTGCAGTGAGTTCTCTGTTCCTTTTCGCAGATGCCTTGGTTCAAGGGCTGGAGCATCACCAGGAAGGAGGGCAGCGCTTCTGGGACCACCTTGCTGGAAGCTCTGGATTCTATTATCCCTCCTTCCCGCCCTGTTAGCAAACCCCTCCGTCTGCCTCTGCAGGATGTTTATAAGATTGGTGGTACGTACACAGCTAGGAAGAAGGAAAGTTGTGTGGTCCCTTATGCTGAGCGGGGATGGAAAATGGCAGAGGTCTCCATATGGTCTTCATTTGCCCTGTGCTAGCATTCAGTGAACACTAGTAGTGCGTTGGGGAGAAAGGGCAAGAATCATGCTGCTTTGGTGGGGAGATCAAGTCCTGGGAACAAGAGGTACACAAGCTGAGATTCCAGTTCATTGTGTTGCACCCAACAGTTTTGAGGGATATGCCCCCATAAGTCTCCAGAAAAAATGTCCAAATATACAGCGACCATATTTGGGCTGCACAAATCTAGATGACCATCAGATGACAGCAAGGAATGAGTTTTATGCATCACTTACCAGCCCTCTTGGTTGTCGGGAGTTTTGCAGTCTAGATATGACAGCTGAATCAAATTTTGTTTTGAAGAAATTGAGTTCTAAAGATATCTTTTTTCCCCTTCCACCTCTGGAATTCTGTGAGCTGTAGTCTTTGCACAATTGGAGATCACCAAGTTGAGAAAAGATCTTGCAAATTTGACTTGTCTATTATTTGTATGTCTGCTACTGATTTCTGAGAAAGAGCCCTAAGCAGAGACCCAAGTGAAGAAGTTAATTATCTGACTTGATCCAATCAGCGAATGATATTCAGGATGCTAGAAAACAGGAAAAGTCAGGATGAGTCCAGACAAATACCTGAGATTCTGCCATTGCTGAAAGTTATCAGTTGTTCCTGTTGAATCTTTAATATCTTACTGTCTAAAATTACAGAAATTCACAGCTACTATCCTGGATTTTCTGACTTGGTGGTCATCAACTGTTCTTGACCACATCCATGCTTTTCAGAGGATTGGGATTACAACTCCAAAGTATCTGAGAGGCACAATATTAACAAAAAGTATTTTAACTGATAGTATGTACCACTTCCCTTATTTTAAAATGTGGGAAGCTAGTCTACATTGTCCTAGAACTATTCTGCTGAGTGGGATTCTAGACATACACCCTGTTGCCTAAAACTTGCCCAAACTGGTTGCTGTCCAGATTTTATTTATTTATTTCAGAATGTATATGGTCACCCAACTCAGTCAATTGCAAATCTGGGTGGCTTACAACCAATAACAAAAACAAAATAGCAAGCAATGAATAGGCAATCAGAACCCAAATCCCTATTAGACCCCTCCAGGCGGAAACTCCACTCAACTTGGCCCCAGTGCCCAAGGAATGGAGCAGGTTTTTAAACCTTTCTGAAGGCCAGCAGGTCAGAGCCAACCATGTCAGGAAGATGTAAATATCAGGGGTGTGGGCATTGATTCCCAGAATATCTCAACTACCATAGCCTTGGTGAGAATTCTGGGAGTTGAAGTTCACAGATCTAGATGACACCCTGGCTGGAAATCACTGTCTTGCAACTTCTTTTAACAGTGTCTATGAGGTTTCTTAACATGTGCCATCAATGGATGACCAGCCTTCTGTCTTTGTTCCTCAGGCATTGGCACAGTCCCAGTGGGCAGGGTGGAAACCGGTGTCCTGAAACCTGGCATGGTAGTCACCTTTGCCCCCAGCAACATCACCACAGAGGTCAAATCTGTTGAAATGCATCATGAGGCACTGGAGGCAGCTTTGCCAGGAGACAACGTCGGCTTCAATGTGAAGAACGTCTCTGTGAAGGACATCCGCCGTGGGAACGTGGCGGGGGATAGCAAGAATGATCCCCCCATTGAGGCAGGCAGTTTCATAGCCCAGGTGAGGGAGAGAAGGTGCAGCAGGCGCTGAACGGCTTGCCTGTGAGTTTCCTGGCGTTCCTGTAAATCCACACTGAAGAGGAAATAAGAGTTGCAGCATAGCACAGCATGGCTAAGCTGTTGTGGGTCCCTCCAAAGTGGACAAGAACAGATTTGGACTAAAATAAGATCCTGGATATAGAGCTGCTTGGAGATGATTCATGATGAATGTGTGATTGGATTTGTACATAGCACAAAGTTGCCAATGGATCGTCTGGGTCTTAGGCCCAACTGTAGACCCAGCATTGTGATTTATAATGATTCATATGATCAATGTTTACAATGATCCATGCTTAGAAGAGGGCTGGGCAACTTTTTTCTGGGCCCAGGGATGCAGCTCAGCCTCTGAACTGGTTGCTGGACTGTTGCAGGAGGCATTTTGGTAACATGGTCCTGCCACTGGAGGTAAAAAGATAAAGACACCGTTGAATCAGGTTCAACTCCTGGTGATTTCACAAACATGTCCATGCAGTTTTCTTGGGAATAGTATAGAAGTAGTTTGCCACTCTTCTTTTACTTAAATGTGGGGTATAAATTGAATGAAGGAATATTCCTGATGATCTCCCATCCAAATACTGACCTTGCTTAGCTTCTAAGGTCAGAAAAGGTCAACCTGGCACTGTCTGCCTGGTGGGGCTGCGTGTTTTCAGCCTCATTGTTTTGGAGGGCTTCAGGGGTGGGAAAAGGAACATTTTAGATTCCAGGAATCTTGGACCCTTCTTCAGTGAAAATATGCCATCCACATTTGGTAATGCTACATTTCTGTTATGCAACATTTGGGGGGCTGCAAATAGGGTGTTGAGTTTTGTGTGGGTGGTGGGCTGTCTTTGGTTAGAGTCAGACACATAGCTTGAGTTTGTGCACTGCACTAAGTGTAGTTCAATAAATTACAACCAGATGCATCTTCCAATGTGCCAAGTCATGAACCTTGACTTGCTTATACAATGGCTGAGTTCACCCACTACACTAGCCCAAAGCCAAACCAATCAAGTTATGCTTTAGAACTCTGCAGAAATCAGATCCAACTGGTCTTGCTTGTTCAGTTCATAAATCGGAGCCGCGAGTTCTGTGTGGCTTACTCACTGGAGATGCTTTGGCATCTATCCACTTCCTTGTCCTCTGTCACTCCTGGACGTATGCATTTTCACCCTAGTAACGGCTGCCCTGCAGGATCCTTGAAAAAGCTTGAATCCTTCTTCTTCCTGCCCTTGGCACCCAGGTGATCATCTTGAACCATCCTGGACAGATCTCAGCAGGCTATGCTCCAGTGTTGGATTGCCACACTGCCCATATTTCCTGCAAATTTGCTGAACTCAAGGAGAAGATTGACCGTCGCTCTGGGAAGAAGTTGGAGGATGACCCTAAAGCCTTGAAATCGGGGGATGCTGCTATCATCCAAATGATCCCTGGCAAACCCATGTGCGTGGAGAGCTTCTCTGAATACCCACCTCTTGGTAAGTGGGAGTTTTATACAAGTTGTTGGCATCCTGGCTTCTGATTCTTTCTGGTGCAAAAGTCTTAAAGCAGTGGGTTTTGTACGTGTCAGAGCATCAACTAACCCTTATGCATCGTGACTGCACTGGCAGAACTTTTAATAAAGTAATGGTTTTATGAGTCATAGATAAGAACACAGAGCTAAGTTGTTCAAAGGTATCAAAGCACAGTCTCTCCTCATTTTGGCCATTCAACTTCCTGATTGGCAGTTTGAACTGTTTTGTGGGAGCTGGGAACTGTTGTAGTTGGGAGGGTTAGAAACTTACATTGGAATATGGGGTGGAAAAATGAGGTTCTGTTGGAGTTTAGGCCCAGGCTGTGAAGAGTAAGGAAGTTGACCTTGATGGAGATAGGCAGACTCCATTACCTAGGCCATCTTCTCTACTGGGCCCAGAATCTACATTTTGCAGCATTTCTGCCCTTCCATAAAACAATGGCCTGCACATGAGAACAACAGGTTCAGAAACATGCTGGCCAGGAAAACTTGGTTAAATCCCAGGCATTTTCTAATAAGCTGTACTTTGTCCAAGTTGATCCTTGATGCTTGAGAAGCTGAACAGGACTGGAAGACTGTCCTGTTGCATCTCTCAGCCATGTATTGACTTTTTATGAGGGCTACTGATTACTATGAGACTTTAATAACCACAAAATACAATAGCAGGACTTTGTTTCAGGGTCTCCAAAACCAGCAATTGCTTTTTCATGAATCCTTTATAAGATTGATGCTTTCATTTGGTTGGGTTAATATATTGTCCTACTGCCCTGTTAGGTGGTAGCACCTAGCTAACCTTGGCTGATCTCAGGAGGTTAAAGCATTGGACTTTGTTAGTACTTGGACGGGAAACCTTCAGGGAATCTCAGGAATGGAAGCTAGACTGAGAAATCCAAAAACCACCTGGAAGAAGGCCATGGTTAAAAGTTTCCACATCCTACAAGGAAAACTATGTGGATCTGTCTGTGAATTTACTAGGAGCTGAACTCAACTCAAAAATATTTATGTTGTGCTAAGGTATCTTGTGGTGGTTTTTGGTTTCAGGTATTGTGTGAACCCAGGCAACTATTGTTTATTTAACAAACCATAACTCAGTACAATGGATATGTTTAGCTGTATCTTGTTACAAACTTACACTGGTTGACGAGCTGTTCAACATCCAAAGAATCTGAATGTTAAAATGTTGGCTGTGCTCAACCACAGTTTACCTTTGCTACCTTCATAAGCAAGTTTATGACAGCTGGATTCATTAGGTAAACCATGGTTAGGTTAAATATGTCAACACAGCCATTGTGACTCTACACTGGGGAAAAAGTTATATACTTTTATATCCCCACCTTTTTTCTAGCAGCTCAAGGTAATGAAGGGGGAGGTCCCCTAATTTTATCCCCACAGCAACTTTCAGCTCAACCCTTCTCAAGAACAACCGACCTAAAGTCCCCTTAATGAGGTTTGTGGTCAGTGGGAACTTGAACTTGCACCTCCATAACCCAAAATGCATTGCATTTGGGCCAGGAGCTTCTTGCTATGAATTATATTCCACTCCCCATCCATCTGGAGATGGCTGAAAAAGAGGAGATTCCAGCAAATTTCTAAATTACTGTTTGAAAGATGGATTTTGATTTCTATAACATAATTTCCCACCTTGCTTTTCAGTTCTGCCATTGATAGTTGCAATTTTACTGCTTTTTTAAATATAGGGAGAGAAAGATAACACTTAGCCTGCTGTTCTGGTTCTGTACAGTCATATCCCTTAAGCAAGTCTGTGCAACAACTGGTTATATAGAACATGACTGTGCAATAGATAACAAAACACACATTTCATCTTGCAGCATTTTTATCTTGCATTCCTTCTCAATGAATTTCAGGAACTTGGACATTTCACCATGAACAACCAATAATAACCCGTGACACAAGGCTGGCTTAGGCACATCCAGCAACATGGAAGAATGCTCGTGTCAAGATTATTCTAGGAATCACATGATGTAACTCAGTTCACATAGCATCCTGAGTCACATTGCTTGGTGTGCAAAATCCATTGGTGGGAGGAGTGGGTTCAGAACCCCCTCCTTTCCCCTCACCTCATCTCAGTTTATATCCTACACCAGTCTAGCCCCTCTCTGCATCGGATGAAGTGAGCTGTGGCTCACGAAAGCTTTTGCCTTTAACAAAACGTGTTAGTCCTTAAAAGGGGCTCCTCCTGGTTTTAAGCCAGAACCAGGCAAATCGTGTTATACTTGGGGTGATGTTCTCTTCTTTCTCTGGCAGGTCGTTTTGCTGTCCGTGACATGAGGCAGACTGTGGCGGTGGGTGTGATCAAATCCGTTGAGAAGAAGGCTAGTGGGCCAGCTAAAATCACCAAGTCAGCTGTGAAGGCAGGCAAGAAGTGAAGGTTCTGGTGAAGGATCAGCCGTTGGCCTTGTTTGCTTCCTCATTGGGACTAAGCACCAGGAAGAGACTTGGAAGAAGACTAAGGGCATCTAGTACTCCTTGGAGCTGGTGGGCTAAAAGCTGTAAATGAAAAACATCAAAATAAAAACGGGGTCTTGTTCGCTGTGGCAGCATTTGTCAATTACATCCATAACTTGCAGTGCTTATCCTAAAATACACCACATGGGTTGGAATGATAGAAGACAAATGGGTCTTCAGGGTGGTGCTCAGGAGCATTAAACACCCATTTTATTTCTTAGGTTCTTTTTATTAGAAGTAAGTGAAGAGGAAGCTAGATATGCTACAAAGCCATCCATCCATCTTAAGCATCATCACTATGGCCAAGAACAACTTTCTGCCTCATCTTGGACGACGAATGGAAGCAAAGCTAGTAGGGATTAGACTAGGGCAGTGTTTCTCAACCCCAGCCGCTTTAAGCTGTGTGGACTTCAACTCCCAGGATTCCCCAGCCAGCTTGGCTGGCTGGGGAATCCTGGGATTTGAAGTCCACACGTCTTAAAGCGGCTGAGGTTGAGAAACAGTGGGCTAAGCCCACCAGATCCTGACTGCAGGAACTCAAATGGCCACTAGAGAGCAGCAAAGAGCTGTCCTAAAAAAAAAATCCCTTGGCTGCCCTTTCCTGGTCTAAATGTTTTGCAGCAGAGATCCGGTAGCCCAATTCAAAACACGCCCAACTTTGGTTGATTGGGTTGGTACAAAGCTGGTCTCCCTTCAGGGAAGGAATCCAGGTGCACAGCTAGGTAAATACAAGCAGTTAACATAAAGAGCTGGGATTCTCTGCTTCCAAAGTTGAGAATAAGTTCTTGGGAATGCTTCCAATCGGAATATTTCAATGGAATTCTTCCAAATCCCTTTATTTACAGGCAAGCATAAAGAAGCAGAGATTTATTTATTCAAGTTGTATGGCCTAACAAGTGACTCCAACAGAGTTGGAGGGCGGCCCCTTTACGCTAAGCTGGATCCTCCTCATTTCCTGAGCGCTGAGTGAATCCAGCCATTCTGGCTTCGCTTAACCCTCCTTAAATCATGGTTCAGGATACATGAATGCAGCCAGGTTTCTCCAAGCTGGAGAAGCCGTCATGAATACAGCCGCATCATCCTCAGCACAGCCAAACTGCCATAACAACCCCGTCCCTTCATAAATGAAATTTAGGAAATGAATTCTGAAAATTCTGAAATGGAATTTATGACATTTATGAAATGACATTTAGGACATGACATGAATTCTGAAATTTATGGAATGCACTTTATGAACTGAATTCTGAATTTATGAACTGAATCCTGAAATGTATGAAACGAAATTTATGAAATGAAAGGTAGGGACTGAATTCTGAAATTCAAGCGATGAAATTTACGAAATTCCAAGATCTATGAAATGAACCCTGACATGTATGAAACGAAAGGTAGGAAACGAACCCTGAAACTCATGCGATGAAATTTGTGCAATGAATTCTGAAGCTTACGAAGAAGCTTGCTTTGCCCAGGCAAGACCTCGAAACTACAACTCCCAGAGTTCTTCGGGGGAAGGCGGGGTCCTGTCCGCACCCCCGCCTCCAGCCCCAAAGGGCGGGGCCACACCCGGCGGCCCTGTCGCGTGACGCCCTCTCCCCTCCCCCCCGCGCGGCGGCGAGGCGCCTGATTCCCGAGGATGGAGCGGGGCGGGCGGACGCTGCTCTTCGCGCTGCTGCTGCTGCTGCTGCTGCTGGGCGGACTCCGCCGGCCGAGCTCAGGGGACGCCGCGGGGCCGGTGCCGCTGGTCATCTGGCACGGCATGGGTGAGCCGGGTTGCCCTGGGGAGGCGGGAGGGGCCGCGGGAGCTCGTCCTCCAGCTGCAGCCGCTCAGGAGCCGGCTCAGCTGCCTGGTTTCGACGCTGCTCCCGCCTCCCATCCAGCCCTCCTGGCTGGGGATGATGGGGCTTGTGCTCGAACGCTGCTCCGCTGGTCCGGGTCCGGGAAGCCTCGTTTGGTTAGCCCTTTTTTGTACGCGCGAGCCTTTGTCTGCCGCCTCGTCCCCGGATCCCAGGCGGCTTACAGTAACCGAACGGGATGCAGTAAAGCAGCTTTAAGGCAGAAAATCAGCCAGTAGAAACCAGTAAATCCTGCCAGTCGAGCTGCTTATGAAGACTGGTGCTGCGGTCGGGCAGATCTGAATGCTTTTCTAAAGAGGAGGCACATCTGACTTGGGGGGCAGCAGTTGCCAGAGAGGGGCCCCTACGGAGAATTTTCCTTCTTCCCCTTCTCCGTCCTTGCTGATCTCTTTCAGGGGGTGCCCCGTATCCTCTTCTACTAGACTGTGGGGCAGGCAGGTCCTACACGTAGTCCCCGAAGTGTGTGGTAACCACTTTGGGCATGGTCTGCAGAGACCCACCCAGCCTCACGGGTTTCCTGGACGGGGCACTGGTGCATAATCAATCGAAGGTCAGTCGGTTGCCCTCACCCCAGCTTCCCTCGTGAGGTTTTGTTTGGGGGATAAAATTGGGGGTGACTTTTACATCAGCTCCCTCAACTTTTAGGGAAAAAAGATAGGGTAAGAAGTCTTGGCAACTGTCGCAACAGTTGGTAAAGTTAACTGTTACTGTTGCACCCATTTTACATATTGGGATCCTGTTAGGGGCACACATACCATGATGACAGTTTAATCACGGCCTGTTTCCTGTTTTTTCACATGCTTGGCAGCAGAAGAATGGTGGAAGGCTTTTATTTGTGGTCAGTTAGTTGCTCACTGATAGGAAATTAATTGTGGCTACAATCCTATACGTATTTATCTGGAATTAACATAAATGCCTTTGAGTTCAGTGGAATTTCTGAGCTGATATGAATAGGGCTGCTCTGCCGGTTTCATCTGGCAAACATCTGCTTCATGCAAAATATTGGTGGTCTACACTTGATAGATTCAAATCCACCCAGATCAGAATCGAATACTAGCTCTGTTATGAAAGTAATTTACTTGCAATGGTCTCATGTTCCTATTTGGAGGCTGGGGGGTGAAAGCACCTGATGTAGAAATTGGTTAGCTGGTATTACAAAAATGAAAGCAGAATTGACTGGAATAAGTTCCTGTTTCTAAAAGAGTTTCCTGTTTTTCTCCTAGAGAAAACTCAGCCTAGAGTTTTCACAGCAGAAGAGTTGCTTCCTTTATCTTTGTGGGTGGATGGAGATGGGTGCTGGAGTGTTAATGATCTGCAGACTAGTGGGTTAGCCTTTCCTTTTAGCAGACTTGAGGGAGTGCCTGTCTCAGGCAGAATGAGTGTGCTCCAGGTCCCGTCGTCGAAAAGTTGTCATCTTAGGGGACCGAGGAAGCGTGCCTTCTTTTCACAGCCCCTGCCCTCTGGAACAGCATCCCACCCCGGAGATTTGCATGGCTCCCACTCTCCTTGCTTCTCCGAAGTCTCTTAAGACCTGGGGTTAGTGGGTTTGTGGAGCCCCGTTGAGATTTCTTACATGTTGGGGAGTGTGGTTGTGGTCCAAGCAGCCATGTGGCTAGCACTGAAGATTTTACCTAGCCGGGCGACGAAACATTTGCAAGAAAACAACCAAGCTCAGAGAACCACCAAGGACTCCACAGTCATGTGGCTTTTAGTGGTGTAGTTAACATAAGTATTGGTCTCACAGTACGCTGCCCAGAGTCTTCTTGGACTTGGGTGGTCTTAACAAATCCAATAAGTAATAAATAATTACTGGTACCTACAGCGTTCTGATTGCAAAATTTAACTGCATCTCAGCAGGTTACTAACCTGCAGGAAATGGATCCAAGTCACTTTCACCAAGCAGAATGCATACATATCGTTGCTAGGTTTGTGGTCCTTAAGAATAAATAATAGCATAAAGCCTTTTATGAGTGTGTGTTATTGTTGGATGTGGCCGTTCTAGAGCATTGGATGACGCTTTCACTGCAAGACGGTACTTAATCCATCTTCCTTGCTGCTCTCGTTCTGCAGAAAGATATACCGACACCGGTGAAGCTTTGAGTCATTCTCTTGTGGATTGAGTTCTTTATTACCACTTTTTAACCCAAAGTCTACATTAGAAGGGAATAAATGTTTAACATGGAATTCCCATTGCAACCTGATGTATTTTTATACAATTTTACTCAATCAGACTTCCCTTCAAGGTAGACAGAACTAGCCTTGTATATGCAAATTGAGGCAAGGGTTTCATATCCCTTTTATTGAGAAAGATGTCTGATTCCTGCCTTGGAAGAATAGTTAAGCAGATGGGGAGAGTATGCTTTGATCTCCAGAATAACTTCGTTTTTGAAAAGTAAATCTGATGTAGAATTTACTTCTAATTGGTGGATATTCCTGGACTATGATTGATACCAGTGTGTCTCAACCTTAGCAACTTTAAGCTGTGTGGACTTCAACTCCACAACATGGCTGGCTGGGGAATTCTGGGAGTTGAAGTCCACACAGCTTAAAGTTGCTAAGGTTGAGACACACTGATGAATACATTTGGGTTTTACTATGTAGAGAACATGTATCAATTTTATGGAAATGTATGGAAAATGTCTAGTATTAATTTAATTCATTATAGTTTATAGTTAGTGATTTATAGCAGGAATGGTTAACTTAAAGTTTAATAGGGATTTTCAGTTTTTTCTTCAAGAGGTAACGTACTTTATAATTTTATAATTCATTCATTATATACTGGAAAATGATCGTTCTTATGACGTTTCAGATCCCTTATTTACTTATCCATACTTCATTAGTTCTACTCTGCCCTTTGTTTTTTTACATGTCTTTTATTTCTTCTTGTTTATGTTCTTGCTTCGAAATGTTGAATAAAAATAATAATTTTTAAAAGTCCCAAAGGAGAACTTAGTCCCAGCCTGTGGCCTCTATTATTAAATCAAATTTGTTTCCCCAAATTCTTCGTTGCTATTCAGCTGTTCATGCTTTTTAAGTATTCCGGAAGTTCCCCAGCCAGTTTGAAATAAAGTTCAATTTCTTTGCTTTAGATTAATGTCTTGCCTTGTAGTAACTAAAATGTTTTTGGCCACACAGGACTGGATTTCAGAGTTCTAGCTCTTTTGGAAACATAGCACTTCCAGCTGTCCCACCCTTGTAATATTTTTCGAAATAATAAAAATTAAAACTTCAGTCCCGTTTTCCTTTCCGTAAGAATCTTTTTATGATCTGGAAGGGACAAGGAACTCACAGTTAAAATTCAGGGTGGGGAGAGGCTTGTCCAAAGACCAGGCCATTTTGTGAAATTAGTTTTTATTTAAAAAGATCTAAAATGGACAGAAATGTAGCAACGTGGATTTGGGAGAGACAGGTATCATGAAGGATAGATCAAATTTAGTTATATATAGTTTTTGAAGGTACAGTACTTCAGAAGCTCATCCTTTGTTTTCACAGTCTCTTGTTTTATAAGGTGGATTTTATTGAGAATAAATGCTTGTAAGGCATTTAAAAATACAGGTAGCAAGAAACCTAGCTAAGTTTAGTCAACTTATTCAGAACTGGCCAGGTGACACTTGAACCATCTGACTGGATTGCACAAGAATCAGTGAACTGGAGTGTAACTGGGTTTCAAAGCTCAGCTAAAGCAGTTTTTCCTAACCAGACATGGTGGGATTAGACCACAGTTTTATGCAACATTCTAGTATTCTTGTATATATCCGTATTCTAAAACACAGCCCTGTTTTCTTTTTTCTTTTAATTTGGGCATTTGCTGATTGTTTGATTTAATGCTGTTAATATATTTATAGCTATAAATAGTTAAGGGACCTAGACAAACAGCCATTCTGATTTTCTAAACTTCTCCCTTTGCTTTTTTGCATTATAGGAGATAGTTGTTGCAACCCCTTAAGCATGGGTTACATTAAAAAAATTGTGGAAGAGAAAATCCCGGGAATTTATGTGCTGTCTCTGAAGATAGGCAGCAGTTTAATTGAGGTGAGTCCGTTCATACGATGCATGCTTTCAGCATACAGACATGTGAATTGGATGTTTTCCCAATTCTTTTCTAAAAGGGAGAGTCAGAACTGTGGATACAGAGTGACTGTAGGGTGCTGAAACAGCCTGTTTTGTACTTGAGGTGGGGTATTTTGAATTCACCCTCTAGTTGAATGGGTGGACCAGCTGGCTGCATCGTCCCAAGAGGGGGAAGTAGCCATAAACAAAGAACCTCCAAGGTTGAGAATGTGAGAATAGCCCTGCTAATTCAGGCCGAGACCCATCTAGCCCTTTCTTACAAGGTGGCCCACCAGATGTATTTAGGAAGCTGACCAATATGAGACTAAAGCAGCCCTCTTCTCCCATGGTTGCTCCCATGCACCTGGTATGTAGAGGCAGAGAGACCTTGTACCTGGAGACTACACCTTGTCACCAAGGCTAGTAGCCCTTGATAGGCCTGTTCTGTAGGAATTTGTCTAATTGGAGGACCAGATCATGCCTTTCTGAATGGGCTTCCTTCCCTATTTGTAAAGCCAACCCTTTGAAGCACCCACAACTGGCTAGTTCCTCTTCATCAACCTTTCATTTTTCCCTAGGACATGGAGAACAGCTACTTCATGAATGTCAATAATCAAGTCAAGGATGTGTGTGACCAACTTTCTAAAGATTCAAAGCTTCAAGGTGGCTACAATGCCATGGGCTTTTCGCAGGGAGGGCAGTTCTTGTGAGTATTTCAGATGAGAGGTGACGGAAGTCCCTGGAATGAAGTAGGTGAATGGGCCCCATGCATTAGTGGTAGAACCCAGGGTTGCATGCCTGAGGATCTCAGATTCAGTCCTTGATGTCTCCCATTAAAAGAGTAGCAGATGATGGACAGATCTCTTGAAGAGCCATCACAACTCAGAGTAGATCAGTTTGGGGCACATTGAAAGCAGAGCACAATCCAATGTGAGGTGGTTTCCCATGTTTCTGTGATTTTGTTGCAGCACAACAGAAAACTTCAGCTTTCTCAGGTGTACCTATCTGTTTTAAATTGACCAGTCTACTCATTACCCCAAACCACAATGTCACCTTTATTCGTTTGGGCTTAGTGTCCTATGTGATGATAGCCATGGTAGTTTATAAAGCAAGATTTATGGCTTTCTGGTTTCTGCTCATGCTGCCAATTCTGCCTTGTTTTACAAAACAGGGCTCCGTGAACCCAGCAGCAGTCTACACCACCCCACCTGGTGTTGTCTAGATATTCTGGAGTTTCAACTCCCATCCCTGTTCCAAGCCACCCAACCCCTATAATTAATACCATACGGGAAAGCTTAAAATTATAATCAGGTGGATTCCAGGTTCAGTTCTGTGGTAGAAGATGTATTTCTGGTGGTGATCTGTTTTTTCCCCTCCTTCTCAGGAGAGCAGTGGTGCAAAGATGTCCATCTCCACCTATGTTCAATCTGATTTCCATAGGAGGTCAACACCAAGGTAACCCTGTTTTTCAGAGAAGAGCATAATTTTAGGACATCATAAACACTGTCCTCACAACCAGGTGGAATTTAACCCTTTCCAGTTCTAGTAAACTTGTCTGCTGGTTATGTAGGATCCAAGATGAACCTGCATGCTGGGATTGTTTCTGGAACAATGTTTAGTGTTCTGGTTGACTTTGCTCCATTAATGGCACAGACAGTTTCTGTCTGTTGCAAGGGGAGAAACTTCTTTTGAGTCTGGGGCTGCAGTAACATCAAAGAAGGGGAAGAGCCAAAATTTTTTAACACAATTGTTGCTTGATGTTGAGGTTTTGGGAGGATTTAAGAGGGGGAAAGGGAGTGTTGCCGCTCACAATCTTGTGCTGTCACTCTCGCTCTTAAAACTACCTATAGACAAGGCCAGTCCCTCCAAATCTAATGAAAATTGTGCTGTTGAAAATGGGCCATTTGTCACTGAATTTCAGCACATGATCTCGGGGTCTTTGGGGGCTGTGTGCTGCTCAGAGGTTTCCTACTCCTGATATACTACCAGAAAACACCCAATCTCAGCATCCCAGTCTTATAGCAGGGTTTTTCCAGCTCTTGAAGGCTGTGGAACTTGTTATAAAAAGAACAGTCCAGAATTTCTGATCAAGAGGCAAAGGTCTGGTGATAGAACATTGGCTGTGTTTGTGTGATTTTTCTTCCCTCTTAGTCTCTCGTGAAACCCTATCACGTTCTTGTGGAACTCAGTTTGAGAAATTGCTCCAATTTGTGTTCAACTTGAAGCACAGGTTTACCAGGATGGGTCCTGAGATCTTTGCCTAAACTTGCTGTCTCTGATTTAAAACTCAGTCTGCTGGGTTTTAATTTCTCAATATTACCTTCAGCTTCTTGGCTAATACAAAATCTGATTTCACTCTTTTAACTATAAACATGTTTTAAAAAATTAAAAATCCCAAATACTTGTTGGGATCTTGTCTGATAAAGAATTGCTAAAGAATACATACTTTGAATTCATTCCTTTACAGCAGTGTTGTCCAAACTTGGCCACTTTAAGATGAGTGGACTTCAACTCCCA